GGGGTCCTTGATCCGAAACATCTAGAAGTTAAGACAGACAAGAAAATGAAGCTCAGTCAGCTGTCTCGATAGAAAGAAAACAAGAACGAATTTCAACAACAAACCGAACAAGGAAACCAGTGTAAGGTCAAGACGTTGGACTTAATTCAATTTTCTTCTGCATCAACCCATGTTATTTCCAGTGGTCTGACTGCTATCCGAGCCAAAACTACTTGATGGAAACAATAGGTTTTTCCACAGATTATCAACGATTCAACATAACTATAACATGTTGAGATCGAGAACTTCATTTAAACTCGAACAGAACTTAATCTAATACTAACAAACAGAGCATCGGGTCGGGTCGACATTATTACAGAAAATGTAAAAATTGAAGGCAAACATCCAACCGCTCAATTTGAATTCAACTTAGCAATGTTGGTTTCAATATCTCTATCAGACATGTAGAAACCCTAGCTAGGCACAGAAGCAGACATTCCAACCTACATATCACACGACTCACTCTTGAGTTCAAATAACATTTTAGATTTTTTTCCAAACGGACATAGACACTCACTTGACACACAAATGCCTGCATAAGAACATACGAGATGCCCTTTTCGAGCTCAACAAGGAATGATGATTTCCAAACAATAATCTCCCTGAAATATCTTGTACATACACGCACACACATACACATACTTATATAGCGCATACGCCAAAAGAATCTCGATTCAAAGCGAGAAATATTACAGTCTGCTGCATGATATATCCTTTTGTAGCCTCGTCACGAGTCACAGAGAGACCGGGATTGTTCGCCGGCGACTCCTTCGACTCCGACGCCATCGAGAACACCCGAAACTGATGAAATTTCTGCAAAATCGAATAGACCCAGTTCATAAAACGAAGAAACTCAATCGATTAAACGGTTTCCGATGAATGGGTTACGGTATCTCCGCTGAAAAAACAAAAAACCTTTGGCTTCTGGGTTCTGTTGAAGAAGCAGGTGATGGGGGAAAACTGGGTAGAATAGGGTTTAACGAGACGAATTAAAGGAGAAATTCTAGAAATTGCGCTTGCTGCAGAACACGAACCCATCAGTCATAGAGGGTTTTTCCTATTCGTGGGGGAAAAAACCTCGGGGATAAGAAGAGAGAGATTTACCCTTTGGAATCTTGTAGCTCTTGAGAAATCAAACATTTTCCAGCAGAGGGATCGGTTTTGTATTGTTAACTGCGTGACTAGTTCGAACGGCGTCGTTTTACAATATTGAACCGGGATTCAGTTGGTAACCGGTTCAATGGTTTGTCGCGTGCTCTTATTCGGCTTGGTTTCGGACGTTGAAATCAATTATATATCATAATGACGAGAAAAATAAATAGTCGATTTTATTTTTTTTAGACCACAATATAAATGTATATAAAGCAATAATCATTTTAGAAAATATAAAATTTAATATAATTTTACATAAATATCCGTTAAGAGGAAATTCTCTATTCTTTATACCAATTTTTATACAAGAGAGCAAATCTCATTTTAGAAGAATATTAGAGAGAAATCGTTATGGAATAACAATGGCAATTGTGTACAAAATTTAGTGTTAATTAAAAGAAAAAACTCTAATTATAAAAAAATCATAATAAATTTTAGTTTATATATTTTACATCTCTGAAATAACTCAGATTTTAATTAGTTTATCCAATGTTTAATGTCAAGATCAAACTAATTGGACGATATAATTAATATTTTAATTAAACACATGTCATAACATTTTTTAAACAAATCCTAAAAAATGACCGAAAAACAAATTTGTATGGGGTGAAAAACTAACATAAACAATAAATATATATCATTCTTATAAAATTAAAAATTTAATAAAAAAAAATAACCGAAATAAAATATAGATTGAAATTAGAAATACCAATTTCACAAGCAATAATTAGTTGATCGAGAATACTAATTAATAAATATTATATTTTTCGTTCTGAAAAATTATTTGCAATAACTCGAGACATTCCACTTTTTTCTCAAACGTAATATATCGACTGTACTACTATCATAAAATAATAATTCTATAATCTAAATTTATGTTGGATGTATATACATTTACAATATGATATATATTAAGTATTTAATATTTATCGATGTGTGGTGTGTGTATATATATATATTGATTCCACCAGCAAATAACTAAAAATCTCTCTCTCTCTATATATATATATATATATATATATATATATATTAATATACATTAAAACAGAAAAACAAAACTCAAAGCATTTTCTTTTTGTTTGTTAGAAGGTGAGTTTTGAATAATTGACAATGACCTCATCAAAACATTTTCAGTCTTATTTTATCTCAATTTTATCGACCGATCTCATATGCTTATGGCTAGCTAGAGATCTCGCAGTTATGTAAGAGATCTATTAATGGACTTAATTACTATTTTCATATGCTTATATGACATCAATTTCCAAATCGATAAATACAAATAAAATGCTTCTTTATAACATCAATTGAATCATATACAAACCAAATCCCGATACTACGAACCTGATTCCGGCATTCTTGGAATATTTCCATAGACAAATTAAAACCAAGTTTGTTCTTGCCTTTTAGGGTTTTGAACATTGATCTCTATCAAACTATGATAACTGGTTCCTCTTTGAAAATATGCAGCATGTTAGAACCGTAGATTAAAAGAGGCGGAGTGACCATATAATCATCGAATTTCAAATGGGTTCGATGTCGAATCAAATTTTTTTCTTGGTTAGGGTTTTGAAATTCAGAAACGATATATCAACAATTGAAAGAAAGAATTCGAGATCGGAGGCTTTTTTTTTTTTTTTTGTTTTAGTATTTCTCTCGCGGATGTAAATTAGAATTCGAAAAATAAGTTTACAAACAAACAACAAAAAATCTCACCTTGTTTATATTAATATATGTCGATGAACTGTGGGCTGGTTTTATGCGTATTTAATAGGAAGTAGCTTTAACCTGCAATTCCACCAGCACCTTTTTTTTTTTTGTCGTCTCTTCGCTCTTCTTCGACATACACATGCATATGTATATGCAGGGTTGTGTATGTATAGATGTATTTATCATTATATGTATGCTTGTAACCATATATTTGTTTAAGGATATTTTTGCATAAAAACTTGCAAATTTTCATGCAAACTTTGAGAGGTTTAAACTTTTGTTTATAAGTATGCATGTTGCATAAGTATATATATGTATATATATGTGGTTCTTTGTCCTCGACATATACACACCATATATGTATGTATGTATGTATGTATGTATGTATGTATGTATGTATGTATGTATGTATGTATGTATGTATGTATGTATGTATGTATGTATGTATATCAAAAGCAAGAAGAGCAACAGATCGAAGAAGGTGCAGGTGCAAATGCAGATCAAAGCTAATTCCTCTTCCTCCTCCTCCTTTCTTTCTCTCTTTCTTTTTTTTTCTTTCTTTTTTTTTTGGTGGAACTTTATTTCTTTTTCCTTTTAATGTTTTTTTTTTGGTTTTGAAGAAGACTTCGGACCAAATATTGATACGTAATGACTTTATTACAGCATAAATTTATATAGACGAGTGCGCGTGCAGACATATATACATACACACGTATATATATTTGGTTGTACATGTAAAAGCGTCTTTATCTCTTTCTTATAAAATAATGTATGAATATGTATCTTCTTTTTATATTTATAATTGATGAAGTAAGTAAAAATAAAATTTATTTATATTTATAAACGTATGAATGTGTAGAAAAATATATAGAAATTATTAAACGAAAATATATGCTTGCTATTAAGTACTTTATAACGACAGATCAAATGTTTTTTGGGTCATATGCTTTAAAACAAATATTTTCTTTCTAAATCTGCATAAAGAATTTATTAATTATATAAACACAATCTTGTGTTTTTTAGTTTATTAAACATGAATCACGAATTATTGAAACTCATATGGTAACACACAATCATTCAAAACAATAACAATAGAACTATATATTTATTATAACATAACAATCAAAAGTACGTTCAAATTGCAATAATTTTATCAAGTTTTAATATTCTGCTCTTTCAACGGTGTTTGCAATTAAGTAACAGCTACGTTTGACACGTTAATTATAACATTTTAAAATTTTTATAATTAAAAAAACAGATATTATAAGATTATATATTTATATTTGATTAACAAATAAGATGATATATATTTTAGTTAATATTTTTTTTTACGGTAACTAAAGATTTCTGGTAGGTACGTGGTGATAATATCTTTTGTTTCTCTTTATCATATAATAGCAAAGGTACTTCTAACAAATTAGGAGATCCCTTATAAATTAATTGGACTGTTTGAAGTTGCATATTTCAACCAAGCAGTTCAACTTCTTATTCAAATTCTTATGAACATGTTTTAAAAAATCTGCAAAAATCACTCATTTTTTCAAAGTTTATATGTATATTTTATATATGTAATTAAACCGTTAAATATTAATCCAATTTTTTCAGCAATGCATAGTTTCGAACTCGAGTGGAAAGATGGTTTTTGTTTTTACGTAACCATGAAAAACAAAGGAATTGTTTTTTTTTGTGATATATACATAATATATATATATATAGGAATCGTTTATATATACAGTTTATGTGTATCGAGTTATACGACTATAAGGATGAAGAATTTATATCTAAATGCAGATAAGGATAACATTTATTGGAGCACCAATCGTATGAAGATATACATAAATCTCCTCTTGGTTCTTTGTGAGTATTAAAAAAAGAAAGAAAACAAATTTGAAAGTGGGGGGAGCGAACATAAGATTGAAAAGATTACACTTTTTTTAATGTCCTGTCCGGGGGATGTCGTATCACGTGGCAAAAGGTGTTGAGCACGTGGGATTTGACTTCTCCGCCAATTAAAAATCGACACGTGGACATAGCATCTGACTCCCACGGTGGATCTCTGGATTCACGTGGCAGCCCCCACTCTTCAGGCAGAGGCATGCAACTTCGTTTTTCCAAAGGTCCAAAATCTTTGGCCCCCCAATTTGATATTTTACTATGAGGATTACATTGTTATAAAACGTTCAACAAGTAGAAAATAAGATTGGGTTTTTATTTTTGTGAGAGCAAAATAATTAATGCCAAATATAAATCAAATTCAATTTGATTTCTTTTATATCAAATTTATTAATATTTTATCAGATAATTTTGGTTCGATTTGAATTAGAATTTCAGTTTGTAATTAAGAGTATTACGTTGAAGTTTATCTATCAATATTTGAGGTCTAAAACGAACCCACTGCTATTAAGAGAATTCCATGATTTTAAATTTATATCAATTGAATCTTTATTTTAAATTAGATGAAAATAGTCAAATTTAATCTAATTTACCCAGTTCACGAAACAAATGAGGTCATTATAATATACGATAAAAATGTATTAATTTTGTTTGAAAAAATGTGCTTTTATATAATTTTAAAAAATAATAATAAATAATTAATTAAATGATTTAAATACCAAAAACAAAAATATAAAAAAACAACAACAAAGATTTAGTATATTGTAAATATTATACGTACATTAAAATCGACACAATCCATTATATATATATATATATATATTGAAATGTGATTTTAAATATTTAGAGAAAATAGAAATCGCGATTAAATTAATCCGTTTGACACCCCACCCACATTACGCTCTACTTTGATATCCAATTGAATTCCTCGTGGGCCACCCTAAACCAGTCTCAAGACTTCTTATTTTTCCTCGAGTCACTATTACACAATGAAATTATCATCCACAGGATAATGATTAAAACGTTATTAGAAAATGACCTATTGATATGATTAAATATCTGAAACTTGTTATGCGATTCAAGATTTAGTATAAATCTCAGGCTACTCGAATCCGTGACAAATTTATGATGGGACAAAGTATCTGGACCACGGGTTCAGAGATATTTTCAAAATCAATTAAGATATTTATGGCCACAAAAAATAAATATAACAACAAAAAACAGAATATAAAAAACCAAGTCTTTAATGCACGAAGAGACCATTAATATTTAAAGAACTATAATAGATGAATTGGAGTATATAGTATGTAGGAATAGGAGTAATCAGTATGAATATTACATTGATATCTGTTTATTGGAATTTATATATACGTTCGTCTCTAGACATAGAAAAGGATTTATCATTGGAATATAAATATAAAATATTAAATACCGATTAATAACTTGATAATTGAGATCAATTGAATTAGTTATATTTAATTGTTGCTTTTACAATTGTTGAAAAAAATACGCATAGGGAATAAAATCTAGTTAGATATTAACATGTTAATAAACAGCATATATAATGAAAAATAATAATTATGTGTTTTGATAAATTGAGAAAAGTAATAAAAAAAAATTACAATATGAACGATTCATTTGTTTTCACCGGAGAACTTCTTTACGTGTAACAACAGAATGAACAAAGCGATGGGTTACAGCGAGCGACGTCGTATGTTTCGTAAATTTAGTAAATTTGGTTATTCTGATTATATGTAGGCAAATGTTAAAACAAAAAGAATATTAGGGACTAATATATAAATACCATATTTTGGGATATAAATAAATAAATAAAATTTTAGTTTTGACCCGATTAATGGACACGAATGACAAACATACATATTTACTAATAATATTATATCATCTTTTTCGAATTAAAACTGAAACCATAGAAAAGATAGAAAACCTCGTGAATTGAAGTGGACAAATTTCCTAAATTTCATATTTAATATCTTGTAACTCTTCCCTCCAGATTTTCTCAATGGCGTCTCTTTCGTTTCTGTGTTATCGCAGTTCGAGCTAAATTCTTCAAAGCATGAGATCGCGTTTGCGTTTGAATTCCACGTTTGACCCTACTCGATCGCCGTACTCCGACAGTGTCCGACGACTGGGGCGGGTACCTGATGAAAAGAAAGACTGGAACACCGCCATTGGAGGTCATGGGAGTTGCAGACACAGGAAGTGATCGTGTCTGTTTCCCCGCAAGATTGTCCAAAGTTCAACCCTCTCTCTTCTGATCCACCTACCAAGACATTCCTTGCGGCTCAAGGCAGTGCAGATTCATGACGAAAGATCGTTTTTCACAAAACGTGAGAAAGATAACCATAATTACCCTATTGCCTACTTCTCGTTATCGGCGAGAATGCATCAGAAAACTTACCACAACTGAAGAGAGAGAGTGACCCAAACCCGAAAAGACGGTGCCAATACAAAGGGTAAGAATCATGTAGAGGACAAGACGAAGCCAATAGTATTTCCATTCCCTCGACATTATTAACAACGATCTCCATGTCAGTACTGCAACTCGTGTTGCGGCGCTTGCTTTTCCTTTGGATTTTAGCTGTGGACCTTCCTGTAAAGGAAAGAAATGGCCTATCGAGCTACAATGATTCTCAAAGACAGACAAAAATGGTTTCCGAAAAAGGAAACTGTGCCATTACCCTCTCGGTGAGCCTGAAAATCATGGTTTCGACTGCAGCAGCATCAGCAGATGATTTATATGTCGCCTCAAGAGTCCGAATGGCAACAGCTGTATCCAAGAGCGTCTCTATCGGGTCACCCAGCTCGCCCTGACCTCTGGCCGGCAGTTTTCTCTGACAGGAACCCTCTTCGGGTGCGGTCGGAACAACACTGGTTTCAGCCATGGCACGACAGGAGGCATCATCGGACTCGGTTGGGGACCGTTCACGGGTCGAGACCTTGGGAACGTCCATGCATTCAAGGGATGGGGAACATCGTTATAGAGTATTTCTTGCGCGTCAAGGAAACCGTCGCATCCGTGATGACTATCTCCTTTAATTAAGCCCACTAATTGTTTTTATTTTCACCCTTATTCTTAATTTCTTTGCACCTCCCCTTCACAAACAATGTAAAAGTTCGGTTTAATTTACGTGCAATTACATTATATTTGCAATATAATATTTCTAATTTTTTTAAAAATGTAGACGTAATAATCGTATTTTTATCCAAACCAAATTTAGAAAAAATGACTTGAATATATATATATATACACACACACTGTAAATTTGGATTTAGATTAACAAAATTATCGAAATTAATAATTGGAGAAAAAGCAAAATATGGAAAAAAAATTCTAGTGTACGGAATTCTGAGCAAAAACACCTCCCTGTCTCACCTTCAGCCGCCTCTGGTAACCGCAGCTTTTGTTTTTTCGTCGTCTTCTTCACCTTTTCTCTTCTTATCACTCTCGACGAAGCCCAAAAACGCTAACAAACTAAAATCTGGGAGATGGGACAAGTGAGTTGACTCGTTCTCTCCCTCGCGATTCGAAATGGGTCTGCAATTTTTTATGTTGTTTTTTTAGTTTTTTTGTCCTTCGTCTTGTTGTTGTGGCAGGAGATGGAGGGCGTGCGAGACGTAGATGTGAAGAAGAAGAAGAAGAAAGGAGAGAACAACGCGGCGGGTTCAATGGCGGCTCCGGTCACCGTCGTCCTGAATGTCGATATGCACTGTGACGGCTGCACTTCTCGGATCGTCAGACTGGCTCGTCGTTTGGAAGGTTCGTCGCAATTTATCTTCCACAAAAGCGATATAAACCCTAGAAAAAACCCCAATCCATTTCTCTCTGTGTTTTTTTGTTTCACTCTTTCGTTGGATAACCGCCATTGTCTTCCAGATTCTGAATGTTCGAAGCATTTCCCCCTTTTCTCAAGATCATTGTGAGATTTTATCGGTGTTCTCATGATTTCGTGTTTGACAACAGGATTCTCTGTGTTAAACCCCTGCCTAAGCCTTACTCGCCGATGAGCAAAAACCCATTTATCTATGTTTTCGCATCTCTGGGTTTTTGTTTCGTTTTCTCTTTTGATGTATCTTCGATTTTCATCTGAGTTATGGTTTTCCTTTTTCATCTTCGAAGCGTTTTACCCTTTTTTTTCTCGATCATCACGGAATCTAGCATTATGATACTCGAGTATTATGAGTTGGGAAATTTCTGCTGTGAAACCCTAGCTAAACCCTCGCCTATCAGCAAAACACAATTCCTCTTGTGTCCGCATTATCCTCCCTGTTTAGTTCCAACTCCTCGTTGCCAAATCCAAATCTCAGAACAATTCCTCTGTTCTGAGATTTGTGGGTTACAGGTTTTAGATTCGTGGGTTCTTGTTTCATCATAACCCTTTTCCTCTCCTCCAGAGACATGAACTCAAAGAAAAATCTCTTACCACAGTGAACTCTGCTTTTTCCTAAACAACAAGAAATGGTAATCTGTTCTGAAACACTTTGTTCTCTTACCGGTTTCTCTCTTTCATTCCATCAGGAGCTGAGAAAGTGAGAGCAGAGCCTGCTTCAAACAAGCTCACAGTGATAGGATTCGTCGATCCATCAGAGATAGCAGAGAAGTTGCAGAAGAAGAGCAAGAAGAAGGTGGAGCTGATATCTCCTCCACTACCCAAGAACGAAAACAAAGCAAAGAATGAGCTAAAGTCTTGCATCAAGACACCAGCAAAGGTAGGCTGATTCTGACTTGTATATGAGATTGAATGGGTATCTAACGAAACGTTTGAATCAAATTATCACACATACACGATGTTGCTTCACAATTATTTTAGCATAATCCTGCCAGATCCTGAGTTCTAGAATCAAAAAGTGAATTATGTTCCAGTTTTACTTGCGATCCAAGTTACATGTCTTTGCATTGAGAACTACTAGGAAGTGAGAAACTATTGCTACTATCTCGACGCCCATTTGATCAAAATCCATGGAAAGCTATTGCTAGAACATTTGCTGTGTAAATAAGCTTGTGGAGATGTGTAGATTCGACTGTGACTATGATGTGAAAGCGTTTGAATTTATGATCTTTATCTGATTTGGGTTTTTGTCTTGTTAGGTTGTCGTGACCACAGCTGTACTGAAACTGAGTTTTCATTGTGAGGGTTGCATCAAGAAGATTCACAAGACTGTCTCTAAGACCAAAGGTTAGACCTTTTAAGTTAATAGGTTCTGTCAGATCCCATGGTCTCTCAAGATCTCATCATGTTCTGTTCCTTTCGATATTTTCACCAAATTCAGAATTTTGGAGCTGTGCTTATAATTAAGCTGTTTCCGAGATTTACGTTTTCGATGCTTTGGCCTTATCGACATTTGGAACAGGAGTGTACGAAGTCAGAATGGACGAGCAAAAGGAGCAAGTGACGGTCACAGGGACAATGGACGTGGAATCGCTGACGGAGAATCTCAAGAAGAAGCTGAAGAGAACCGTGGGGACGGTGCCGATGAAGAAAGAAAAAGAGAAAGAGAAGAAACAAGAGAGCAACAATGGCGATGATGGAGGCTGGAGCAAGAACAAGAAGACGGAAAACACTCACGAATCCAAATTCGGGTCTCCGGGTCAACCCGGGTTTGCGATAGGGTACGCTATTGGGCCTGCACTCTATGGGTTTCCAGGCCCAATTAGAGAGATCTGCCGCGAGGAGGACCCAGACTGTTGCTGCGTCATCATGTGATAACGACGCCGACCGAACAAAAAAAGAAAAGAAAAGAAGGTTAAGATGTGTAATCATGTAAATAGCTCTGATTAGGGAAATTTTTGATAGAAAACCCTAAACCATATACATACATTTTGAAAGAACACATGCATCTGAAATGTGACTGCTAAATCATGGATGTATATAATAAATTAATATAACACTCAACATCCAAAGATTATGATAATTGGAGTATCAAAATTAAATTGAGGTCAAGTTTTGGTAATAATGCAAATAATTTCACCTCCCAAAAATATAAATGTTACGTGTGGACTGTTGGATATGAAGGAGAAAAAAAAAGAAAGCCGTAAATAAACGTTTTCCTGCTAACATTACCAAAACGCGGTCGTTTTGTACAGTGTTGTAACAAATGTTCATTCATTCATTCACCTGGAACCGTTGTTCCGCTTGCGACGACAAAATACGAATCTACGGACAGAGGCGGAGGTGGAGGTGATGTCATGGTTCAGACAAAACCGAAGCAGGAGGAAGACGAAGAGGCGGTAAGCGATGGCCATAGAGAACAAGAAGAGGAGGTTTCGCCACTTGGAGCTTCGGTCGGGAGAAATGTCGTAAGCTCCTCGGATGGCTTGGTATCCCGTTATCGTCCTCACTTCCCCCACGGCAAATGATGTCCCGACGTACTCGTTCTCCAGAATGCCCTGCATCCAGCCATTATGATCGTGTCAAGGGGTTTAGGGGTGGGAATGGATTGAGTATCCGAAAAATTCAGAGCCCGAATACTCTGTATCCGAAGGTTTCGGATATCACAATTTGATATCCCTACTCGTATCCGAAGACCTAGGTTTTCCAGACTACTCAAAAATCTGTCATGTGCCCGTGAAAGATTGGGTACTCAAAAATCGGGTTTCAGGTTTCCACGGTCAGATACCCATTGGCACCCGATTTTCTGGTATTTATGCCCACCCCGGGCTTGTGATCGAAGAAAGAAAGACAGTTAGGTACGTGTAATACCTGAACAGAGTAGGCGTGGAATGACAGGTACGAGAACGGGTAAGTCCAGATAGGTTTCGGCAGGGCATTTCGGATTCGGAAATAACCCGCCGAGAGAATCATTATCACCTGCACACATGGTTCCATTTCGCCATGAACGCCCCCATTCATAAAGAACCAAAGATCAAGATTTGATCGTAACGACGATTACTCACATGTAAGCAAATAAGAGTCAATGTGCTCCAGTAGAGGTTCCACCATACGCAAGCAATGGCGAGCATCAGTCCTTCGTTTACGAGAAGGCACGTGAAAAAGTTGAGCACGAAATACATCAACAGGCTGAACTCGTCTCTCAATCCGACCATGAAGTAGAACACGAGACTCGACGATATTGATATCAGAAACAAGAACGGTATGCTCGATAGAATCTGCCCGACCAAGAACACGAATGCACCCGAATGCTGGTTCGATGCTTCCCCTGCATATATCTGCATGAAAAATGTAGATTCTACGCCATAAAATTCATTGATAATTAGATCATTTAGGACAAAGATCATGGAGGCAAAAACAAGAAAAACAGTACCTTGATTTCTTTCAGAAGGGAAGGCATTCCAGCGATTCCCAGCAGCGAAGCAAATGAGACAAACACAAAAACTGCAGAAACTCTTGTCTGAAATAAAAACATGATATCGAAAAGATAAATTTCGTCGTATTGATAGTGAAATCTTTATGAAAATGTCAAGAAAATTCATGACGAAAGATCGTTTTTCACAAAACGTGAGAAAGATAACCATAATTACCCTATTGCCTACTTCTCGTTATCGGCGAGAATGCATCAGAAAACTTACCACAACTGAAGAGAGAGAGTGACCCAAACCCGAAAAGACGGTGCCAATACAAAGGGTAAGAATCATGTAGAGGACAAGACGAAGCCAATAGTATTTCCATTCCCTCGACATTATTAACAACGATCTCCATGTCAGTACTGCAACTCGTGTTGCGGCGCTTGCTTTTCCTTTGGATTTTAGCTGTGGACCTTCCTGTAAAGGAAAGAAATGGCCTATCGAGCTACAATGATTCTCAAAGACAGACAAAAATGGTTTCCGAAAAAGGAAACTGTGCCATTACCCTCTCGGTGAGCCTGAAAATCATGGTTTCGACTGCAGCAGCATCAGCAGATGATTTATATGTCGCCTCAAGAGTCCGAATGGCAACAGCTGTATCCATATTCACTGATGAGAAGTCTCCATTGTCGTCCTGTAAGTAACAACATCAAGCCTGTCTCGTAATAAAACCTGACAGTTCTCTAGTTATGTAGATTCATTACCTGCCAGTTCTTGCACATTGCGATAATCCTATCGAAATCTGTGTTTATGGCGCGTAAAAAGTGGTCTGACGGGCTTTGCATGATCGGGCATGGAAATCCGGCGTTAGAAAAGTGCTGCACATTCACGAACATACATAAATCAGAGTCTCCTTCATTGATCTTGATATGGGTATTCAAATACTTAAAACAACAGGAAAATATCAGGCATTGGAGCATCAATTCCACCTGTAAGCAAGCTAATGTCTCCCCGAAGAACAGAGTGTTTCCGTTTGATAGAAGGCAGATTCTGTCGAATAAGCCAAACACTTCGGTGCTGCTTTGGTTGATCGTGAATACAAGAGTACATCCCGTACTTGCAAGTTTCTTTAGTGTAACCATCATAAGAAGAGCCGAAACACTGAAAGGAAAATGAGGGGAAAAGAAAAAGAAAAGAAAGAGAATGATTAGATTGAGACTCTCCCTCTTAAATGGCAAACCAAGAACCTAAAATCTCGATAATGACCGACCTGTCAAGATGATAAAGAGGTTCATCAATAAACAAGATATGTGGCCGCATCACGAGTTCACGGGCAATAGAGACACGTCTTCTTTCACCACTAGGGAGGCCTTTCATGTAACAATGACCGCCGATCAATTTGTTTGCATAGTCCCCCAGTGACATTGCCTGGATAGCGTCCTCTACCACGCTCCTTTTCTGACATAAGAAACCCGGAAGTTGAAGCAGGGCTGAGTAGTAAAGGAATTCACGGACGGTGAGCGATCCAATCAGTTGTGTTTCCCTCTCAACATATCCCTTCATGCAGCAAAAGAAGTATGTTTCATTAAGACAGTAAGTATGAGAAGGAAACATCAAGAAACTGAAAAACAATCCCAAATAAGAAAGTACATTCACTCACATAGGATCCATATGGCATGCGTGATTTTAATCCATTCACAAACACCTCACCGTACTTTTTCGCTGAAGGAGGTAGCCTTCCTAAAATCATGTTATCCCGATAACCAAGTTAATATAATGTAAACATTATTCTCACAACAGAATGAAGCTGCTTTGAATATTTTGTCATATACCGGCAAGTGCCCTCAAAAGGGTGGACTTCCCCGATTTTGCAGGGCCCATAATCACTGTCATGGTCCCTGGCAAGGCGTACCCATTCGAACTCTTCACCACTTTGTCTGAATACTTTCTCTTCCCCTTTATAGTAACAGTTAAATCTTTCCAAGCCACAGAAGCACCCGCGATTTTTCTCACAACCACTGCTCCTTCAGGGACTGGCGGAGATGGCATTGAACCACTATTGAGTTTCGAGAGTGATGGTGAGGCCGGAGTTGTAGCAGCTGTAGCAGCATTAATGGAATCGGCACCAGCTTCCTCCATTCTTACATCGGCATCGGTGTCTTCCCACTCGGGAGAATCTTCAAAAGAGATAGGATGTCTGAGAGAACCTGGTTTTCTTACATAGAAAAAGTGGCTCGATGGAACCCTACTAGCAGGACTACTCGCTGAGGATGAGGAAGAACGGTAAGGATCCAATTGAGACTGTATCTCTTCCATTTTGATCCTCCCTTTATCGAATAAAGGTCTAAAATCTCGAGCTTCCTTGTCAACCCGAAATCTTACAACCGCTGCTGTCTTAATTTCCAGAAATCACCTGAGGCAATACAACACAAAGCAAGAAGTAAAGGCTTTAACTTTTGAAAAATCACTTCCATAATCATACAGGGAAAAAAGAGAGAGAAACGCCGATACTTATGTGATTGGTCGGTAGAATTTGCCCCCAAAAAAAAACAGGTAACAAGATCCAAAAAAGTTTCTGCGCACGTTAGAAATGGGGAATTTCTAACGGTAAGGATTTGGTCAAATTGCTAAAGAGAAAATGCTCGTAACGAAGACACAACTGATCTAAGCTTGTGTTCTGCTATCCTCCAACAGCAAAGGAGAAGCAATTCCAGATGGCTAAACCTAAAACATTTATCAAAGATAAAGCGACAGTAAAGCTCAAACATCCAAACCGCAAAACTGTATAGCAATCAATCTCTAACAAATCACAAAATCAAAGTAATCCCTCATTTAGGAACTGTACAAACAGTATTCAAGAATCACGACGGAGATCATGAAGCCCTATTTTTAGCTTCTTTGAACTAAACTTGCCGCTTATTCTATACACCCAGAGGAAAATATAATCAAAGCCCATAGCCTCACTCCTTTGGTTTCACTTACTCTTCACTTCCCCAGCACGCAGAGACACAATACGAGAAACCCACTAGCCAGAACCAGAAACCCATTTCCAAAAGTGCGCAAAAAAAGACAACTTGAAACAGGAACAAGAAGAGACAAAACCTGGATCTGAAGAAGCTGGATCCAGAAAGACAGACTCGGAGACAGGGAGAGAGAAGAACGAGAGGGAATTCCTCGTGCGAATAATAATACTTGGGTGTCGTTCGAGAGAGAGCGAGAGTGAAGTGAGCTCAAAGCCCTTTCGAGTAATGTGATAACAATAATGGAAGTGAAATCGGTGGATTCGACATTGAGATAATTTTGACCCGCTTTTACCGGATTTTGTGTTACGTGTTGTGTTTTTTTTTTAGGTCTTTTTTTTTTGTTCTATTGCTTTCTCTTTGCATCTATCTTTCTATTTTTGCTTTTCTCTTTCCATTTTTTTCCTCCAAATTTTAAAAGAACGTGAATATATATTATTATCACTGTTTTTTATCGTAAGTTCCTATCATTTTAATACAATTTTCGAAAATTAAATATTGGAATTTTGATTTGGGTTAAATTAATTGCGCGAATTTCAACAATAAGAATTGGAAAATTTGCAAGATTTTAGTACTAATCCATTTGTAATATGCAAAGTTTTGATATCTTTTAGGGAGAGGGAGAGGGAGAGAACCCAAAACCAAAAGAACAAAAAACATCATAATAAAACCAAAACGCTCCTCTAAAGATTTTTGTAATGATTGCATTATCAGAAAAATATCATATATAAAAAAATTCTCATTTTTATACAATTTTCAATTTTATTCTGCTATGGGTCATGTTAGCCATTGATGGTAGTGGACCATACACACACACACATATATATATATATATATATATATATGTGTGTTAAAAAAAATAAAGAACTATTTTTTTTAAGGAACCAAGCTATCTACTTTCACAACATATAACCTTTATTTATAACTTGAGACTATATTTTTTTTAGCTTACATTTTGTTTGAAAACTTTAGGTTATTGTAAGATACAATTTCCAATTTTGAATGCAGTTTCATTTGGGGTAATTCAGTTGGGTTCAACACAAGTCACAGTATTGGTTTTGTCAACATGAGGCCCAAAATCAATTATAGCCTCATTTATGGCCCATCTACAATATCTGCGTCTAATTTTTATTTTATTTTTTGTGAAGCATTTATTACTATTTACAAAAAAAAAATCTTCTTAATAGTGTGTGTGTATATATATATATATATATATATATATATATTGAGATGGGATTCATGTATGAAATGTAAGCATTGGAAAATCACGTGCAAAAATTGATGACAATGATATTGAATAATGCATTTGCTTCCATGAAATACATTCTTACACAAAATTTCTTCATTAAATATTCAATCTCATCGTTTTTACATTCACTTCTTTCCTACCATTATATACCAAAATTTCTTCAATAGATCATCTCAAAGAATATTTAAACAAGGTGTTAGTTTTATAAACACTAAATTTCTCCTTGGTTGGATATTTATTTTGTCGGTGGAGAAGATGGATCCAACCTCTAAGAGGTTAAGATGTAGGAGTGTGATTCTCACATGATTTCGATCCAAATATTAAATTGGTTAATAACCGATACGAACCGAATAATATATCGAATCCGATACAAAACAAATGATTATGATTTCTTTAAGACTTATCAAATTTGAATCGAACTAATGAAACCGTATAAAAAATAATCGAAAAAACTTAAAATTAAAAGATGAGTTTTTTTTTAATAAAAACCGAATCGTAACCGAATATAATTGAATTCAATATAAAAATCGAATTCATTATATAATTCACGATCATAAAACCATCCATCATCATCTGAGGTTTATAATCACCGATGGGTATGAATACTCAATTTTTTTACATCCGACTTCGGCCTAATTGTTTTCGAATTTTTTTAGACAAATTATTCGATATATCATTCTTATGGGATTAATTGGATATCTGAATTTCGAATACCAATGGAATATGATATAGATTTGGATACTCGCAAATATGAGTATTCATCGATTGAAATTTGAATCTAACTTAAATGAATATCTGAAATTTTGAATATCCAACTCATAAATCAAACGATATATTCGAAATTTCGGTACTCGTTACTCGGTAAAAAATGACCGATGGATATGCCAAAGGCAAGGCCTACAAATTATTAAAGCAGAAGCTGCAGTTTATATAACACGTAAATTTAACTTCATATATACACACACACATATATATATACCCAATTTTTCTCTCATAATAATCATTTCATCAATAAAAAGAACCAAAAAAATCCATCGTGATAATAAATTCTCAGTTCATTGACTTTGGGCTGCAACTGCAAATGGATAGGCCGATTGCTCATGGGCGTGCGTGTTAATCAAGTCATAGGCAAGTTTCTGAATAAATTACTCTCCATAATTATACAAATTAGTAAATGAAGCATTATACGTCACCGCTTTCTAATTAATATAAAAGTTAATTAAGAGGCGACACTATGCTGATTAGGTGAAAGAAAAGTCTAATAGCTTTATATTATTTAATATCCAAAGCTCCTATCAATATTTTTTAAATTAAATTAACAACATAATAAAGAGGAAGATTCCATCACTGGGATCAAGCTTAAATATGTGTACAAATACATCAGCTTGTGTTTATAAAGTCAACGGTTCTATCTATTAGATCGAGAAAGGCTTCGTATCTTTAAAGTTCTTGACTTCTCTCTCTCTCTCTCCTTCACAAATACAAAGTCTATTTTTCTTATTTGTAAACTATTTTTATATATATATATGCTCGATTATTCGCTTTAATTGGTTCGTATATATATTATATACAGTAAAACGTCTAAAAAAACAAAAATACCTAGATATGCGTGTCATCCTAAAACACTAAGTAACGAATTAGCTATAATACTCTTAATATGGAAAAAACAAATTTATAATATATCGAACAAAAAAATCTTAGAGAATCTGAAAAAGAAAGTCAGTAAATAAGGGACAAATAGTTTTCTCGGCCGTCCAAGAAACCTGGAAGAAGGCAACTGGATCTTCTGTCCGAAAGTGCGGAGAACTACTTTTTGTTTGGTTTAGGCTAATGCTTACGTGTCATCCTGTCACTCACAATCCTCGTCAATTTAAGCATTTTGATTATACATAAATTATATATATATATGTATAATTCCTCAGGTATACACGGAAGAAAATTAAAAAGAAAAAAGAAAGAAAGCTAAGACGTGAAAAGTAGTTCATCTTAAGGTAATGTTTTTTTTTTTTTGCTAAGAGATAATTACAATTTCATTGATGAACTTTGAGAAAACATTTCATAACCGAACGAATTAAACTGTTGTTCATAGCGCATAAAAACTTGATTAATTTCATAAAAAAAGCAGCTTTAATTCCCGATCGAATCCGTATGATCCATCACAAAGACTGAGAAAGACAAAAAGCAAAGCAAAGTGAAAGAACACAGCGTTAAACTTAAACGCACACATATATACGATATAAAGGGGGTACTTGAATGTTTATTCTTCCCCGGTTCAAGTCGGTTTAACATAACCAAAACCAATCAATAACCGAACCGGCCGGTTATCCCCTCTCCCTCTCGTATCAATCAAACATGATTAGGTGTATTCCCAGGCGGAGTGGCTGCATCAGCAACTCGACGGCCACGCTCGGATCGGCTGTTCTCGGCGAACCTGAGACTGCCTTGGTGCATGTTCTTCTGCTTCTCCTTATCGGTCCACTCCGAGACATAGTAATGCTCCTCCGTACCTTTCACCGGATCGGAAG